TATGGTCAAGGAATGCCATTCTGTAACACAAGTTCCCTAAAGCAGTAACTATAGAGGAAAGAGTTACCCTAATTAACTAGAGGTCAGCATACTCAGAAGCAAAGAAGTAGAGAGAGTTGGGTACCTGAATAAAATTGGGAAAAGTACGAAGAGAGGAATGGGTGCTGGATAGGAACCACCAGTTTCTACTATGATAACATGTTTACTTCATTTTAAATGGTGATATTTTAAATGTGGGGACATTTTGCCTAGTAAGTTTTTTTTCTGTGAGAAACATAGCAGTATCTTGTAACAAAGAAGATATGGTGACACTTTGTCATCAAAAACTACTTTGGGGCTGGGCATGGTGGCTCACGCCTGTAATCCCAGCACTTTGGGAGGCCAAGGCGGGTGGATCACCTGAGGTCAGGAGTTCAAGACCAGCCTGGCCAACATGGTGAAACCCTGCCTTTACTAAAACTACAAAAAATAGCTGGGCATGGTGGTACATGACTATAATCCCAGCTACTTGGGAGGCTGAGGCAGGAGAATCGCTTGAACCCGGGAGTCAGAAGCTGCAGGGAGCCGGGATCGCGCCACTGCACTCCAGCCTGGGCGATAGAGCGAGACTCCGTCTCAACAACAACAACAACAACAAAAAACCAGAAACAAAGCAAAACAAAAACTGTTGGAGGTAGGAACTGGCCCAGGGGCTGTATTTCCAGAACATGATTCCCTTTTCCCCCTGCAAACGAGGTAGTCTTTAGCAGTCTAACAAATTGTCTCACATAGGATTATTCCTACTAGTAAGAGATCACAGGTAAGGCTTGGGCACCTTGACCTGCTGTAGAAGCTCAGTTAATGTACTTTTCATCATCTGGGCTGTGGTCTTCCCCTATGAATACTGAAGTAGACCCAGTGACCTAGTACCCAAGACACAAAATATTCAGCCTCCATAACATTCGTTTAATGACATGATTCTAGCTTTGCCCACTCCCATTAATTTCAAGTGAATACTGGCTAGGCAGTCTACATTGACTTGATTACACTGCCTTTCTTGTCTTGTGTTATCCTGAGAATCCCGGATTTGAAGCAGCCCATGAATAAGGTTTGAAAAATATTTATCCAACTATGCTGACATATGATGTTCTAGCACTGCATCTGTCATCTATCATCCCCACCTTAATAAATGATAATTACTTGTGCAAACGTGATGTATTAATCATTTATTATCTTGGGTGCTTACTTGACAGACACTGCTAGGTGCTTTGCCTATACTGTACTTCGACAGAACCTGGGAAAGAAGAGCCTGGCTCATTATGCCCTGGAGGCAGGAACAGAGATTTCAGACTCGATTTCTGTGAGCCATTCCACACTTTCCTCTCGGTTAGGGGATGGACCGCATCCCCTCTGATGGACCAGAGGATGGAGATGGCATCTTTGCAGTGTTTACAGTTCCAAACACCTAGGCTAGGTGTGGTGGCTTACACCTGTAATCCTAGCACTTTGGGAGGCTGAGGCGGGTGGATCACTTGAAGTCAGGAGTTTGAGACTAGCCTGACCAAATGGCAAAACCTCATTTCTAAACTAAAAATAAAATACTAGCTGGGCATGGTAGTACATGCCTGTAGTCCCAACTACTCGGGAGGCTGAGGCCTGAGAATCACTTGAACCCAGGAGGTAGAGGTTGCAGTGAGCCAAGATTGTGCCACTGCACTCCAGCCTGAGTGACAGAGATTCCATTTTGAAAAATAAAGTTCCAAACACGTAAATGCTCAAACTTTAGGAGGCAGCTCTCTAGGCTGTGGGCTATCAGCATCCCCTCCTAGATTCCAGGCATTTGGTTATATAGTTACTTAGCTATAATGCAAAAGATACATTTTAGAACCCATGTGGCACCAAATTCAAATTGTTTTAATGCATGTAACTAGTGACTAAAAACTTAGAATTTCAATTTACATCCAAGAGGTGGCACCGTAACACAACAGCAGAAAGCCATACAAACTTTGAAACTCGATTCCTTTTGTAGTCAACAGCACTATTAGGAAATTTGTTCTGCAGTGCCTGACTACCAGGCTCACATGCTGTGATCCTTCTCGTCTTCTCAGAGCCATTCCTTAAGCTTAGTCCCCTTGTATCTTAAATTTAGCTCAGGCCAGAGTGGTGTTAACTTGGGGCCAGCTGGGTACATGAGAGTCTCAGCCCATTGCCACGGTGGAATCAGCATGGTCTTGAGTTCCTTCCTTAACTCTGCAGGTTTCAAAAGTCCATGTAGCCAGTGTTTCTGAAAATGGATCTAGGCTGGACAATTGGCAAGGAGCTAATTTCTAATCAAGATGCCAACTTATTAACTTGAGTGAAGAACACACCTGCCAAATAGACTATAGTGGGATCTGCTAGTGAGAACATTCTGTCCCTTTGGGAAGTCTCTTTAAGAGAATCATCATTTGAAGGCTGCTTGGAGAGCTTGGAATCAGAGCTAGGGAAATTAGGGGCCAAGGTAAGGGAGCTATGACCATCTATAACTCCCATTTCTGCTGCAGGGGTGGACCTATGGTATCAACCAGCCACAGATGATCTTTTGCGACAACACTGGAGATAATGATCCTTCATAGTACAGGAACTCCCTTTTTCTAGGTTGCAGGAAGACCACCTATTTCTACCCACATAGGCATTCCTCAGACAATCCTTATAATTCAGTTATTAAGGGTTTGCATTTTATGATCCTGTCTGCCTCAGGGTCCATCGGTTCCCAAGATAGAGTTTGGGGAGGGAAGAATCCCCAAACTTTGCAGCCACAAGTTACATACTCCCTGGTCATTTCTACAGGAAACTAATCTGTGATGTGTTTTTACTATCACAGTGATGTTCAAACTGTTTCAAAGCCTTAGGTTTCCTCAGAGATGCCTAGGGGGATTGGGGCACTGTGGACAATAAGAGAGTGAGTCAAGTCAACAGCAATGCTAGCCTTTAGTTCTCTTCTACAGTCATACTGGGCAGCACGTACACGTGATAGCTGCGCATACCACATGTGGCTATTGAACACTTGAAATGTGGCTAACAGAATTTAAAAGTAAAAGATAAAGCTGGCCATGTTGACTCACACATGTAATCCCAGCACTTTGGGAAGCTGAGGCAGGAGGATAGTTTGCGGCCAGGAGTTTGAGACCAGCCTGGGTGACGTAGTAAGACCCCATTTCTACAAAAAAATTTTTTTAGAATTAGCCAGGCATGGTGGCATGTGCCTGTAGTCTCAGCTACTTGCGAGGCTGAGGCAGGAGGATCACTTGAGCTCAGGAGTTTTACGCTGTAATGAGCCATGATTGTGCCACTGCATTCCAGCTTGGGTGACAGGGCAAGACCCTGTCTCAAATTAAAAAAAAAAGAAAAACAAAAGCATAATAGAAATAAAGGCCATGTTGGAAGCAGTGCAACAGAGAAGAGGCTGAAAACAGTATGGAATTTAGAAGGCAAGATAGAGAAGAGTGAATAAAGAAAGGAAAATAACAGCTATAGAAGTCAGTTAAAAAATTATTATTATTATTATTATTTATTTATTATTATTTGAGACGAAGTTTTGCTCTTGTTGCCCAGGCTGGAGTGCGGTGGTGCAATCTTGGCTCACTACAACCTTTGCCTCCCAGGTTCAAGCAATTCTCCTCCCTCAGCCTGAGCCTGAGTAGCTGGGATTACAGTCCTGAGCCACCACGCCTAGCTAATCTTTTTTTTTTTTTTTTGTATTTTTAGTAAAGACGGGGTTTCGCCAAGTTGGCCAGACTGGTCTCAAACTCGTGATCTCAGGTGATCCATTTGCCTTGGCCTCCCAAACTGCTGGGATTACAGGCGTGAGCCACCACGTCCGGCCAAAATTATTCATTTTTGTATTGTTTCACTTTTTATATTATTTTGTAAACACACAAGTTGAGGAAATTTTAAAATGTGAAAAATACACATACAAACAACAAAGCTCTGGCCATTAGCAATTAGAGCAGCTTTATTTACCTAATTCAGACAAAGAAGCTGGAGATCCTTTAGGGAGTTAAAGGCACTAGCAGTGGAAAAAAACCATGAGATCATCATCACATCATCCCCTGAAGCTGTCTCAGGAGGAGTCACTGAAACCCAGAGAAAATCTAACTGGTAATTAATACATAGGGCTCTCATGTCCCTGGGGGAAAGGAATGAAAACACCAGCTCAATTAGCCCATACATGGGGCTGTCTGTGCCCTTTAGGGAGAAGAATGAAAACAGCTGAAATCAGCCCATCAGCCTATGAAGACATGGTGAAAGATATGCGAGTTGTCCTTCTTGCACCTCAGCAGCCCACGGATAACTCATTCTTTTTTTTTTTTTTTGACATTGCGGTCCCAGTGGAGCGTGGCGGATCTGTATGAACTGCCTCCGGACGATTGCCGTAGCCCATAGTGGACTCAGCGCAACCGTTTTTTTTTTTTATAGAGGGTTACATGTTGCCATAGTCTCGATCCTGACTTGATCCCCCCTCCCCCATGCTGGCAGCTTACCCCCCCCGATACTCATTCTTTTATCTCCTGACTGGGTACCCATTATGTGCCTAGCTCGGTGCTGCATACTTCATGCTCTCTCTTATTCCTGCAAAGGGGCAGTTGAATCACATATTAGCTGTTTTGTTGTTGTTGTTGTTGTTGTTTGTTTGTTTTTAAGACGGAGTCTCGCTCTGTCACCCAGGCTGGAGTGCAGTGGTGCAATCTCAGCTCACTGCAACCTCCGCCTCCTGGGTTCAAGCGATTTTCCTGCCTCAGCCTCCCGAGTAGCTGGGATTACAGTCATGTACCACCACACCCAGCTAATTTTTTAATTTTTAGTAGAGATGGAGTTTTGCCTAAAGTGCTGGGATTACAGGCATGAGCCACTGTACCCAGCCAGCTGTTCTGACCGAAGACTTGTCTTCTTCATTAACCTGCTCCTCCTATTTCATCCTGTAAATCTTTAAATCTGAGGGGTATTATCCACAGCTCATCTCCACTTTTCTAATCTGACAGCACTGATAGTTGAATTCCTCAGAAGCAAGATGTTTCTCTGGCACCCGGAGGCCTCAACAGTGTCACAACAGCTGAAGTGTCACTTCTTCCTCATCCTGGGCACACCGTGATGTAGTGCAGCCCCACTGATTGGGACCCATGCAGCCAGCCTGGCCCAGGGCCACTCTCTCCCAGCATGTCCACAGGTCAAGGGATCTCTACTTCCATCCTTATTTTCCTCAAACGCTGGTCCCAGCAGTAATCAACCAGACTTCTAGAAAAGAGGAGATATCTGCTCTCAAGGCTGCTGTGGGCTCCAGTGTTGTAATCTACTACTTGAATCTAGTTGTTTATTTCATTCTATAATAATTTAATATAGCAGATGTCAGGAAAAATCTTTGTTTAGATATTGTGTCATATCTGGATATATCTGAATCCTAAAGGATTAATCTCAATATTAACAATATTCACTTCTGCCAGTGTCAAGAGTATTTTCTGCTGTTGGGCTTAAATCAATTTTAAAATTTGAGAGTTTTAAAAGCATATCTTTCTGTGTTCATAAATAAACAGAACAAAAATTCTTTGAGTACCTTAATTTTTCACACAGAATTAACCAAAGCCTTATTTAATATTTCAAAATCCTCATTTATACATATTAAATATGTGTCTTTGGTTAAAATGCAAGATACTGAAAGAAAAATTCAAATAGGCATTTCAGTAAATAGTTTACATATAATATCTCATTTGTCTGACATTACAAAGTAAGTACTTTCACGAGTAACATTTCCAGCTAACTGAAGTCCAATAATAATAGAGGCCACCTTAAGCTGGGAGTATTTGTTTCCTATATTGCCTAATTTAAAAAATATCCTTTTCACTGTAGATAATTGTGCTAAGTAAAAGAAGTCAACAGTCTATGGCATAGATTTCCATACATAGCCAGATCTGTGTTTGGATAGAATGAATCAAATGAAATAGGAAGTCTAGGAAAATTTTTAAGGTATAAAAAAATTGTAGGCCGGGTGCGGTGGCTCAAGCCTGTAATCCCAGCACTTTGGGAGGCCGAGACGGGCGGATCACGAGGTCAGGAGATCGAGACCATCCTGGCTAACACGGTGAAACCCCGTCTCTACTAAAAAATACAAAAATCTAGCCGGGCGAGGTGGCGAGCGCCTGTAGTCCCAGCTACTCGGGAGGCTGAGGCAGGAGAATGGTGTAAACCCGGGAGGCGGAGGTTGCAGTGAGCTGAGATCCGGCCACTGCAGTCCAGCCTGGGTAACAGAGCGAGACTCCGTCTCAAAAAAAAAAAAAAAAAAAAAAAATTGTATTTAGGTTTGGCTTGAACTTGTTTAAAAATAGATAATGTTTTTTAAAAAAATTACATTTAGGAAACAAGTGTAGTTCTTTTATGAGAGTTCAAAATTAGTGCTGTCAATAACCTTCAGGGAAAATGATCATTTCCTTCAATTTTAACATTCTAAACTTAAAACTGATATTTCATTACCCTTAATTCTATCATAAAGTCCTATATTTTTCTTTAGGTGAATAAAATACAAGGGGTAATTACATATTTGTCTGTTGAGCATTATAAGGAAAGTGGCTTTGGGAACAAAAACCATCCTAGAAATCTCCCCAGATGTCTTTTTCCTATGTGGTTTCAGGAACCCCAAAACTATTCTCAGAGCAGTGACTCAAGTTTTATTACATTCTGTGTAACCCCAAGTCCAGCTAGCACTCAAAAACAAAACACAAACAAAAAACTCAAAGTCCCCATCATCCTGTTCTCAAAAGGACACTAATCTGATGTGTTCAATAATTAATATTTGACATTCTAAATTCACTACCAATTTTCAAATGTCAAATGCTATAATTTTATTTTAATTTATGTATTTATTTATGTTTAAGATGGAGTCTTGCCCTGTCACTGAGGCTGGAGTGCAGTGGCACAATCTTGGCTCACTGCAACCTCCACCTCCCAGGTTCAAGCGATTCTCTAGCCTCAGCCTCCCTAGTAGCTGGGACTACAGGTGTGCACCACCATGCCTGGCTAATTTTTGTATTTTTCATAGAGACAGGGTTTTGCCTTGTTGGCTAGGCTGGTCTCGAACTCCTGACCTCAGATGGTCCACCACCTTGGCCTCCCAAAGTTCTGGGATTACTGGCGTGAGCCACTGAGCCTGGCCAAATGCTACTAATTTTAGCTCAACTTTTATGCAAACCATCTTCCACATTTGAAGTGTTTATTTTCTGAATGAGATAATTTGCTTTCCTTTGCTAATTCACATATGAATTAACATAAGGAAACAATCACAGATCCTTAATTCTCAACTTCTCCTGCCCTACCTCATCTTCTGCCCATTACTCTACATCCTTTATGTCAACATTATGCTTTACAATTTACCAAATACTTCCCTCCCGTTGATTCAACAAATGTTTATGCAGCACCTATTATATCCCACTAGGGGTTTAATGGTCACAACTCTATATTCTCAAGCTCTTCCTTTGGTTATTTATTTTTATAATTCTGTGAGGGTGGCAGGGTGGGTATTGTCCCCATTTTTACAGCTGAGCCAATAAGCTCAGCGTTTACATGATTTTCTCAAGGTCACATAGGTTTTAAGCACAGAACTGGAAGCTAGGACTCCTTATGCCTAATGTCATATGTTGTTATAACAGACTGTCTACTTGAAATTAATTCTGTGTGACACTATTTTAATTCTTTGTTCTCACTCTTAAATTATCTTTAAGCTTTTTTTCATGTCATTTTCTGTCCTATGAAGCAGAAACTGTGCCTTTTATTTCTTCCTGGTTTTAAGCAGGTGGGACGCAGGGGTACAGTCTGATAGTAACTGCTGTTAGAAAACAAAAACCATAACAACATAGATTATTCATGCAGCATGCAGAATTAACTCATGTTGAAAGGAGGTTTCTTCCCATGTTTTCAAGCAGGGCTGATACTCAGGACACATGCAGCCTAGCTGTGTTGGGTGTTAAAACATTTAAATACTGTTGGAAAACCACATCTCTTCTGAGCTTCCTGAGAAGCACTCCTCCAGCGCTGGCCTTGGACCCATACGTCTCCCTTTGTGTCAACAGCTGGCACAGCACAGAATCCTGCCCTAAAGCTATAGTCAGCTACTGTCCCAACTGCCTGTGCTTTCTCAGGTGATCATTTTATAAATCTTTTTTTTTTTCTTTTTTTGAGACACAGTTTCGCTCTTGTTGCCCAGGCTGGAGTGCAATGGCATGGTCTCAGGTCACTACAACCTCCACCTGCCAGGTTCAAGCAATTCTCTTACCTCAGCCTCCCAAGTAACTGGGATTACAGTCATCTGCCACCATGCCTGGCTAATTTTTGTATTTTTAGTAGACACAGGAGTTTACCATATTGGCCAGGCTGGTCTCGAACTCCTGACCTGAGGTGATCTGCCCATCTCGGCCTCCCAAAGGGCTGGGATTACAAGCGTGAGCCACCGCGCCCAGCCTATAAATCGTTACTTTTAGAGACAGGGTCTATCTAGCCCAAACTGGAGTACAGTGGCATGATCCTAGCTCACTGTAGTCTTGAACTCTTCCTGGACTCAAGGGATCCTCCTGCCTCAGCCTCCTAAGTAGCTAGGACTACAGGCATGCACCACCACAACCAGCTAATTTTTAAATTTTCTGTAGAGACAGTATCTTGCTACATTGCCCAGGCTGGCCTCGAACTCCTGGCTTCCAGTGATCTTCCCGCCTCAGCCTCCCAGAGTGCTGGGATAACAGGCGTGAGCCACCATACCCAACCAGGTGATACATATTTTTAATAACACTTCTGCTTTCAGAGAAGATCCTGGGGTATAGTCAGGACATTACTATCTAGGCTAAACATCTGTAGTATCAAATCCTATCTTTATATAACAGCACTGGCTTCTTGCCTACTGATGTAATTAGGGGGGTACAGGGAAAACCCTTACTGTTAAGATTGTATTTGCATCTTAATGTGAATGCATGACTTATTAGGTCGTTTCCAATAAAATAGTTACCAGAGAGGGTGGCTCTTCAGGAAGGGAGAATAAAAGGGAGAGGTAGATGCAGAGCATGAAGTACCTGGAGAAGTCAACCTCGAGGGCCTAGTCTGGGGTGCTGAGAGAGAAGGCAGTAAAAAACAGGCTTACGAAGATACCCTTATTTTTTTGAGATGAAGTCTCGCACTGTTGCCCAGGCTGGAGTGCAGTGGCATGATCTTGGCTCACTTCAACTTCTGCCTCTGGGCTTCAAGCGATTCTCCTGCCTTGGCCTCCCGAGTAGCTGCGATTACAGGCATGCCACCACACCTGGCTAATTTTTGTATTTTTAGTAGAGAGACGGAGGTCTCATCATGTTGGTCAGACTGGTCTCAAACTCCTGACCCCAAGTGATCCGCCCGCCTCAGCCTCCCAAAGTGCTGGGTTTACAGGCGTGAGCCACCACGCCCAGCTGGAAGGTGCCTTTTAAAATATTATTTAGTTTTTTTTTTGGTCACTCTAATAAAGTTAGGAAGGTGCCTGTTAATTCCTTTGACCTATGTTGAAATTTGCACTCCTAATGTTACTCTCAAACCAAATAAGCCCTTTTCAACAGATATGAAGGACAGCATAAAAAAAACAAAAATCTCATTTCAACATATTAATAAATGGGTTAACTGCCAGAACTTGGGAGTGAAGATGCTTAAATTTTTAAAATTTTTATTTGAATGAAATCATTGTAATAATCATTCAAATGATTTGAAATAGAATGATCTCTGTGAAAGGAAGTTTATAGCATCACTATTTATAGAAGAGAAAGCAGCAGAGGTATGTATCTGCAAGTGAATATAACATTGTAAAATCAGCCCACATTAAATACCAAAAAAGAACAATCAAAATGCAGCATTACTTACAGGATTAAAAAGAAAAGTGTGAACAGTACAGAGTTAAACTTTTGTATGTGTGAATTTTGACCTGCTATGTTGTTAGCGAAAAGCCTTAGTGTTTGCATAAAATGTGTACCCTGATCCCAACCACCATGAGATCAAGACACAAACTGACAACGATTCCTTATTTTACAGCTTTATTACTGATTTTCCTCTAAAAAGAAACCCAAATAAATGTGACGCTGACTCATCTATAGAGTAAGGAATCACAAAGTACCATAGTACTTTACAAAAGCAAAAGCAAAAAAAAAAGCGATTGTTTTACCTTTCAACTGCTGATGTTATGTACAATCTATCACAAGAAGCATAGCTGTGCATTCATGAGCTGATTATATCAACCTCTAGAATTTTAGAAACGAACACATCTAAGCATATGGATAACTCTCTTACCTTACAAAGTAAAAGTAAGCATTTTCTATTTAAAAATTTTTATTTCTGTGTAAAACAAAGAACTCCTAGAGGTCAAATAATATACCAAACTCATAGCAGTATTAAGTCATGAAATAAAGAAGATTCTGAGGTAGAAGTCAAGCAATATAATCCACAATTTCAGGTATTCCCAGCAACCATCGCATCTCGCAAGTAAGATCTATTTTTTTTTAAAGTCTCAACTTCCACAAAATCAATAATCCATTCTCTAAAATCAGATAT